GGCCATCTGCACTTCTCGGCTCAACGTAAACACCACCGATGCCACTACGACCCAACACCTTAGTGAGGAGGCAAACAGGGACTCGCACAAAAACTGTGAAGAAGTCAGCTTTGCTGGGTTCAGCTTGCTTGTAACCATGCTTCAAAAACTGTCTGCGCCACAGGTCAAGTATGGGTTCCTTGATTGGCAAGGACTCAACATTGTGCCAGCACTGACAGGTGCACCCATCCTCGTGACATCTTTTCAGTTCCGGAATGAGATGAACAATGGACCTGATGGGGCTACGGCAGAACACTTCCCATTGGTCAGCAAACTCATCACGAAAAACATTGATCTTCAGAGTCACAACTTCAGGCGAATCAATGTTGACCAACTGCGTTCCTGCAAACTTCTCAACCATCATCCCACCAATCTGGACCAAGATAGCCTCTGCAAGAATGGGCTCATTGTTGACTTTGCATCGACAGGGCACAGTGACACGTCGGTGAGGGAGCATCGTATGGACGTCCTCATCAGATCTGCAAAAGACCACCAATGCCAGCGGTTCTTTGGACACCTGTTTACTGGCTTTGAGGTATGGTTCCGCATCATGTGAAGAGATAAGGACAAAGCCACTACTGACAGGCCCAATCTGCTGTTGATGCAACTGCTGCATGACTTGGCCATCAGCTCGAAATACACCTTCCAACACCTGTAACTTGTCAACATCCAAAGAGGCAATTTCTGGCACGGCAGGTGCAGGTTTCTCAGTGGCCATTTTCTTGCCAACCGGTTTGCCTTTGTTGTCAGCAATATTCTTTTCCAACTCAGTGGGTAAGACAAACTTAAAACTGGCATTATTTGCCAAAGTTTTGAGTTGCTTCCATGACTGCCGGTGCTGCAAAGCCTGGGTAACTGGTTCACTACCCAACACCCGAATCGCCTGTGCGGCTCTCTGTTCAACCATGTCTGGAGGGACCCCTCGTTTTTCCAGCTCAGAAGCCAAGGACTTGACCAAGGCACCATTCCCACCTTCACCCCAAAAGACCGGGCAACGGCAGAAGTCTTCCTCAAACAACGCCTGGACGAAGGAGGCACGCATATTTGCATGGAAATCAGCCAGCTCATCAAGTGAGAGGGGCAAATCAGCATTCATGGTAATGTGGGCGATGAGGGCCATGGCATGAGCACCACACATACGATGTTCAGGGAGACCATTGGGAATGCGATGGACCACCACATCATGGCACCCCAAATGAAGGCCCAACCACCTCAGCTTGCCATCAACAATGTCAAAGTCAACATCATCATTGAACGTATGAACCACCATCACTCTCCCAGCAGGGACAATCCAGAGGGGGATCCAATGTGAGTCACACAGCATTGCCGAGAGAATGTTCAATCCATCATTGCCCAAAAAGGGGAGGTTCTGGCACCAGCGCTCAGTGAGGATATGCCCCACTTCATCCCAGTTGCAGAAATTCAAAGGTTCAAAGAACAAGAACGTTCGAAAAGGCATGATTCCCCGGTCAGCTTGTTCCATTCTCTTTTTGATCAAGGTCTGAAGGTGATACCTAATTTCGTCATCCCCCATCGCCTTTCCAGGAGAAGTGAGGAGATCAATTCGCTCATCCCTTGTGATGCATTGATGCAAGCTCTGCATCTGACGATCACCCTGCATTGGATCACCACTGGACTGGGCATCAGGGGCATTTGGTGGAGTCTCATCCCCATTACCCCAAACCCATGGGCGTCTAACAACACGACATGAAGACAAATGCTTGACAAAACGTTCCCTGAGTCTGCAATGGACAAATGCTGCTTCGTCATCGCTACCAGGCAATTGTGAATGAAACAGGGCATGGTGGATGAAACTGAGTGCGAGTGCTCCACATTTGGTGCTCGTGAAGAACATCCTCTGATGGCGGTGTATCATCACCTCAGCAAATCCCAAGGCACGTCCCAGGTTCAGCAGGAGTTGGTTGAGATGCTCATGAGACCGTTTGGGATCATCCCATGTGTGCACTACTGCATGTCTGCCATTTGGGACCAACTCAATCGGAATCCAATGATTGTCATGTCGGAAAATGCCAATCACCACACTTCCCTGGGAATAAATACCTCTGTGAGCGGCAGCCCACTCATCCACAGAGTAACCCACATTTGCAGTCCATGCAGCTGAAAGCAGAGGATCAATCACCACAACAGGGGCATGCTTGGGCTGTCCTTCAACCGGTTGGTTAGCTTGGGCAGCCATGGAGTGCAAATGGAAGTGAATCTCATCATCAGACATGACAAAACCCTGGCACTCAAGCAGCTGTGTACGCTCTGGTCCCGAGAAAGCTTGTTGGACAATGGCATTAAAACGAGACACACTTCCAATGGAAGGGACACCGAGGTTCAGAAACTGGTCATTTGCCAAACTGAAGAGAGCCGTCGCACTGGACAAACTATCAACTGAGCTCGGAAAACCACACTCAATACCAACCTTCTTTCCCATGACCTCCCCAACACAAGGAAAGGACCATTCCTCAGTGGGGGACACTGTTGCATCAAGAATAGTGGCTTGGGTACGCTTGGTCAAAGGACCCTGGTCAAAAGGCATGGGCATTTTAGGGAGTGGCCCACATTCCCCTGCACTTCCAGAACCAACATGCTGACCAATCACCACATCGCCATTCTGCTGTGGCGAACCCCCAACCAAAGTGGGCATTCTAGGGAGTGGCCCACATTCCCCAGCATCGGCCATGTTTGTGTGAGCTTTACAGGTTTCCTCAGGGACGAAAGCCCTGAGTGCAGCATCGTTGGAGTCATCATTCGCATCAGTGGGCATTTTAGGGAGTGGCCCACATTCCCCGGGACAGCAAGGCAATTCAGACACCAGGCCTTTGGCATTCATAGTCGGCAGTGGCACAGCTGGCACGTGGGCCAAGGGAACATTGCATGCGCAATCACCATCAACAGACCAAGAGGCACCTAGATGCTGAGGCTCAGTTGGCAAACCGACACTGTCAGGACCAGCCGACACGACAAAACCCGACTGAGCGCAGACATGGACAATCACTGACTGACCACCAGACAAAACATGACTCAAAGGGACATCTCCTACATGAGGGTCAGTGACACGAGACACTCGGAATTGACCGACCAACTTGGCTTGTGCAGCAAGGCATTGCTGGACAGTTGACCCAGGCTCACAGACCAGACAGACAGGGGCTTGGACATCATCAGTGAACGCAATCAGGCACCTATCACCAGTCGGGACCAGGACAGGGACGCAAGGCTCAAAGACCGGTGGCTCATCCATCCAAGGGGTCTCATCATCGACCTCGATCGGGACCGGCTTAGGCAAGACATCAGACTGGACATGGCGAATGATGCAATCAAGCACTGCTGCAATTGACAGTTCACGATCCACCAAATCACTCCAATTTTCAGGGTTCATCAAATGGCCAATGGAAAAGTCTTTGTACTCCAACCAAAACCTGACCAATGGAGCAATGTCATCTTGCACTTCCGTAATGGTAGGCCAAACCATGCTACACCTCATACACAACCAAGATCGAAATGCCTGGAGTTGGGACAAAGGCCCAAACTTGCATGATCCATATCTGATTTCATCCAACTTCTGAACGAGGAAGCTGAGGACCCACACGACTTGCAACGGGGAGGCAATTTGGCCCACCGCACCAAGGACGAGTCTCACTTGCAGGCCCATGTCGATCATGGGATCCATGCCATTCAACGCCATGCATTCATTTGGGTGGACATGTCTCAACAAAGGGTTACCTTCTTTGTCAAAGCCCCAGACCAACAAACCAAACAACCCCTTTGAGGCAAGTCGATGTTCTGAGAATCCCTGTGACCGGCATCCGCATGGGCATCCACGCAGCTGTGATCCCCACGCATGTAAGGCGCATGGGGCCTTTCCAGTGGAGCAAAGCATGTATTTGACATATGAACCATCATGGGCACCAAAAGCCGCAAGCTCTGTCTCATCCAATGCCAATGCAAGCTCATCTCTGGGGTCCCATTTACTGATGTATGGAATGACACGTCCAACATCAGCCAGTGAACCCATCTCAGACCATTCTTGAAGGTTTACTGCACCAATGAGGGGGGAAGTCAACAACCACCATGTGCGAAATCTCTTGCAAGGCCAAACCTGGTCAAGCTTAAGGTCAACTACCGTTTTGTGAAAGCCAAGCACCGAGCAAAAGTGATCAATCTGGGAATTCACGAATGCATTGTCATGGGCAGGCTGGACACATTCTAACAAGACCACCTGAGAATGAAGGTAAAAGGCTGCCTTCAGGATTCCAGGGAGAGACATCGAGCGGGGGTCCTCAGAGCCCCTTTGGTCACCCAACCGACTGAACGGTTGGCAACTGAACCCGCCTGTGATTACTGCAGCACCCTCAGCTCTTTGCCAGACCTGAAAAATGGTCTCATTGGAACCTATGTCTCCAGCAATCACCTCGGCACCTGAATGCATGGCATGTAATGACAGCATGAGAGGATTGGTGTCCACAGCAACCATCGTTTCAAATCCCATGGCCTGTGCCCCATGGGAGATACCCCCAAAACCACTACAGGAGTCCACAATTTTCCGCAAACCAGACCAAGATGGAACTGAATGGGTGAGAAGTCTCGAATCCTTCTGCATGGACACCTTCGGAAACGGAAATTGGGCCACCAGCACGGCATCAAGGAGTGCATATTTGTGAAAACCAACTTCCACCGAACCTTCAAGGTAAAAGGAGGTACCATTGTGGGTCTTCATCAGGTGAGCATCATGTTTGGGATCTGCAAGTACCATTTCGCACAACAGTGAAATGCGTTCCCCATTATCCACAGCACCAAACTCCATAGGAAATGAGACCATGGCTACAAAGGTAAAACAACACAGCCCGATGTTTGGCCCGCGCCGCCGTACCCCTGGCAGGAATTCGGGCCCTCACGGCTGTTCCAAACCACCAACCAGCTATGATGCCTCCTGGCCCAAGGTCTGGAAGCTCCGCCTGGGTCGGTAGGCATTGGCTTGAGGCGTGTAGCCGGTGCCCGGTGCAGCGGCCACCGGAAGGCCTCACAGGACGAAAGGACCCTAGTTTTTCCATGTTTTTCCTGCGGAAAAAAAAAAGAACATGGATTAACGGTGTCTGTGTGGAGGTTTAATGTGGTTTCAAGGGGATATTTCACCCAACAGTCCCGAATTTTCCTATGATCTTTCCCATTCTCCGAGTTTTCTCCCGAATTTTCCCATGTTTTTCCCCAGTGATTTTCGAAGAAACGCGTCTTCCCCGCCATGGCCACGGGCGGGCACCTTTCACGCGCTTCTCTCCGGTTCTCGGGGGGCTCGCCGCCCTGTCCTGGGGAATCATGGGATATTCCATTATAATTACCCGCTGGTGAACTAACATAGCAATGGAAAATGGCTATAGAAATAGTGGATTTTCCCATTAAAAATAGGGATTTTCCATAGCTATGTTAGTTCACCAGAGGGTATTCCATGGGGTTATCCAAAAAAAAACTGTGGGATAATATATAATTGGGATATTATTCATAAATAAGAAAACATGAATATATTGGAGACAATCATTATACCTAACTGGCTATTTTCAGAGGGAACATGATGATAATCCAATATCATCCAATGGAGTCGGGGCTCGATTTTCAGAGCCAAAGTACTATCGATGTTTTATCCCATGAGAATCCCATTATAGTCCCGGTTCATAGTTACCTTCATAGTTACCTTCATAGTTACCTTCATGGTTACCTTCATAGTTGTCAATTGGTGCAGGATTTCGCAACCATCCACAGTATGTTTCATGGTTAAAATATGTTAAAACATTGTATACGATATGTGGTTTATGGTCATCCATTCCATATTGGGAATCCTTGCAATGGGTAATCCTTTTTAATGAGTGTATGACTATCCACTTACTTCCAAGGGAAAACAAAACATGTTTTGACCATGGCACATATAGAATATCTTGACAGTATCAACACCATATGGGCCATTAAATCTATTAATCATTAATGGGCCATTCGATCAATACTGAAATAGATAATCCAACATCGATTTTATAGCATAAGTCAACCATGAGTGGGTTATTGATCTATAGAATGTATTTAGACATCGATGGGCTATATGATTGTGAGCCATGAGTCTTCACAATGTTTGCTTAATTATGTCATTCCAATTTTATCCAACATTTTGGTGTCTACCCGGTAACAAACCCAACAAACATCAAGAAACAGAAATTACACCCCGTCACAGTTGTGGACAGTTGTGATCAGAGCAACTATCCTTCCAAACCACCTTTGAATCCATACACGCACATGGCCTATGTGGTAGTAGGATGTTGTGGGTCAAAAAACCAACCGATGTTTTGGATCAGTTCATCTACAGGTGTCCCATACAGGGAGTCTCATTCGTAAGAGGATGATTTTTTGAAAGACATCAATCCGTTACCAGGAGAAGGCTGTTCACCCCCACCTGGGGTCCACGCTCCCCCAGGAAGATCTCCAAAAGTTTGATGAAACTGGCTCTTTATATTTTTCTAAACAGATTTTCTCGAATGGGATACCCCCAAAAATCTGTTCTGAACTGGGATTTTCCCATATTTTCATAGATTATACCCCAAAATCAATTCTTCATGGGATTTTCCCATATTTTCCCCGTAGAAATTGCTACTCTTGTCCCCCCCTTCAAACCGCTCAGCCGCGAGCCGCGAGCCGCGCTCCTGGTGTTTTTCTCCACCGTCGGGTCGCCAACGCGCAGCAAACAAGAGCGCCTGCGTCTTAGTCCTGGAGGTCCAGAAATGGCAAGAAACCATGGGTAGAACGTGATAAAATGGTTATTGATGGTTATTGATGGTTATAGATGGTTATTGATGGTTATTAATGGCTATTGATGGTTATTGGTAGTTATTGATGGTTATTGATGGTTATTGATGGTCATTAATGGTTGTAACTATGATTATTAGTGGGTTTGCTCACGGTTATAAATAGGGATTTAAATTTAATTAAATCCGAGTCCTGATCTGATCCCATCAAAAATCCACATATATAGGGATTCTTACCCCCATAAACGTTGGGATATAACCCCTATAACTATGATTACCCTCTGGTAATTTAACATAGCTAATGAACATGGCCATTTATAGTGGATTTACCCATTAAAGATGTTGATTTTCCATAGTTATGTGGCTGTTTACCAGAGGGTAATGGCTATTGATGGATACCATGGGGCTTTTGGAACAGCCCTTCCAAGTGGGTTGGGATCTGGGGTGGTGAAATCCCTGAAACTCCGTCAAAACCACCACTGAAACTCCCCTGTTGGAAGCGCAGGGCCGCGAAAGAAGTGGTGCAACGAACACACAACGGCGGAGAAAATCATGGGTAATATTAATGGTTATTATATGGTTAATGATGGTTAATATACTGTTATATAATGATGGTTAAGAAATGTTAATAATATTTAATAATAATCTGGTTGGTGGTTTGAACCTACCCCTCTGAAAAATGATGGACTTCGTCAGTTGGGATGATGACTTTCCCAATATATGGAAAAATAAAAAAGGTCCCAAACCACCAACCAGATAAGGGTGATCATGGTGGATACTATCCTCCAGTCATCACGATTTTGATACATGTGGTATGTTTACCATTCCCAGTCATGGGTGGTAAATTTATGGCATTGTTTTACCCACATTATACAAATCCCGTTAAAATCCTCATTTTTTTTGGTTAAATCCCATTAAACCAGCATGTTTCATGGTTATTTTCCATACTAAAAAAATGCCATACATTGGGAAAACGCATCATTTCTGGGCAATCTCCCGCTCCATATCCCATTGAGTTTCCATGATATTCCCACTGTGGCTGGTGGAAAATCCGTTGAAAACTGTTGGTAACATCCCATTCCATAGTCCATGAAAATATGTCATTCAATATTAAATATCCTATTCAGTTTCCAATAATATACTGAAAACATATATATATACTATATCCATTATATAAGGTTCAAACCTAGAAACGCTAGTTTAGTACTTGATCTGTTCAAGCCATGGGGGCCCAGTCATGGGTTGTTTTTCATCTGATCGGGTGATGGGATTATCTAATTTCTAGGTAAATCCCCATCAAATCTGCATCGAATTGCTGCGCAAACCTCATCAACAATCGGCTACGGATTTCCCATGGTGTTTCTGGTTGGTTTCAATCCCTCTGAAAAATATGACTTCGTCAGTTGGGATGATGAAATTCCCAACTGAATGGAAAAATCATGTTCCAAACCACCAACCAGGATTTGTTTACAATGTGTATTTACAAGTTGACTTATGACTTGGTTAACGTTTGGGTTGATGAAATCGGATATAAGTTACATATACCCTCTGGTAAACGTTTACACAACTATGGAAAATCACCATGTGTCATAGGCATTTTAACTATGAATGGCCATTTTCAAGTTCGCAAACTGTAACAAATTACCAGAGGGTAAATCTCCATTTTCCTATGGTTTTCCTATGGTGTTCTCATTTTCCTATGGTTTTCCTACGGTGTAGTCAATGGAACTATGGACCAGCAAACTGACCAGCTAACACTGGGGAACCGCCGCTCTCCTGGCTCCCGCTCCGGTGTCTTCATGTCGTCCCTCGATGAAGTCCGGCTTAAACTCCTCGGAGAAAGTCGTGGAAAGTTGATGGAAATCCCAAGGGGGAAGGAATCCCAGCAGTTTTCACATGTTTTCACATGTTTTATAGCTGGGATTTATCTCTGGTTGGTGGTGCTGGCTGTGCCCATCTTGAAAAATGATGGAGTTCGTCAATGGGAAGGATGACATCCCATATATTATGGAAAATAAAAAATGTTCCAAACCACCAACCAGATCTGGATGTGAATATTTGCTTCATGGATCCATGAAATCGCTGAAGACTTCATGGGTCAAAACATGGTTCAAACAATTTCATAGCTGTAGGAATAAGCCCCTAAAATATGGTAATCACTGGTTTGACCCATCGCCCTTGAAACAATTTGGGACTTCGCACTACTTGTGGAATTCGTAGGAAGCGACGCTGCATGGGTCATGGACCATCCGATGCTTTCAGCGACCCCAAAACTATGGCAGCCAATGGACACTCTCCGGTCAAGAGGAAGCTAAGCAGCTACTGGTTGGTGGTTTCAATCCCTCTGACAAATATGAAAGTCAGTTGGGATGACTATTCCCAAGATGATGGAAAGCCATGGTTCCAAACCACCAACCAGTAGCTATGGCGTCACTGGTATCGAGTCATAGGTGATGGCTTACAGCAGGCAGCCGGGTACAAATCAGAAGCATACAGCAGGTGGTTCCAGTTGAAGCCTTAGAATCCATTGAACACAATAAACTCAGGGGAACCACCTAATGGATTCTAAGGGTTTTAATATCAAATTTGATAACCACCATTTTCTGAATTTGATATCTTAGATATCCATTGAAACTAAATCCGAAGAAATCCACTTCAGAAAATGCTGGGAGATCTTTGGACGTTTTTTTCCCGGTTTTTGAAACATGTGGCACTTCGCCAAGCGTCCATCTTAAGGACAGGATCACCAGTGTACCTGGCAGGCTGCATCTAACAGGGATATCCATCCATTATTAAGAGGAATAACCGCATAAAAGTCATATAACTCATATAACATATAACAATAAAGGTACCTTCGGGAGCCGCTGTGATATAATATATAGTGTAATATAGTGTATATATATAGTATAATATATATTATATACATATATGTTATATATATATATGTTATATATATATATGTATTATCATTATTATTATCACTATTATTATTATTAATTATTAGTATAATATATATATATATATTACAATATATATATATATACATTTTATAAAATCATGATCTGCTTATCGCTTTTGATGCGGGTTTCGCCTCTATTCTCTCCTGGGAAAATGTGGGACAGAGTTCGTGGTCACCGAGGCACCGAGGCATTGGGATCAAAATGGGACATTTACCAAAGCCTGAAGTGTACCCTCTGGTAAACCATAGGAAAACCATAGGAAAACCATAGGAAACCATAGGTAAACAACCATAGGAAAATGGAGATTTACCCTCTGGTAATTTAACATAACTATGGAAAATCACCAGTTTTAATGGGAAAATCAACTATTTCGACTGGGCCATTTTCAATAGCTAACTGTTAAATTACCAGAGGGTATCTGGAGGGACCCAAAATTTCAGCTGTCACAAAATTATGGAAATCGAGCAACTGGAGGGACCCTGACTTGAAGTCGAACTTCAGGCTGACTCGAACAGAACGAAAACGTGTTCTGCATGATGGAAATGGAGTGAAAATTCATGTTTGTAAGATTTGCCTGTGTACAAAGGTATGAAAAATACGTATTCTGTGTCACAACAAAAGCTAGAAAGACCAAGTACAGTAGCACAGTATCTAGGTCTACACTTTTTGTCGCAGATTCTTCCTGGAATCGTGGACAATCTTGGAACATTAAGGAAAGGAGCTGCATATGGATATGGGTCAAGACCCTGTCACCCTTTGCTCACATCAAAACAAATGGAAATTATGGATGTTCATCCCGGAAGTTGATCGAAAACTATGGAACAGTATAGACAACATAGAACTAGACACCATCAATCACCATTAATCATGGTATTAATCACCATTCATCACCAGAATTATTCACCCATTTTTTTCGTAACCCTTTTGAAACAAAACCTACAACTGATCACCTGATTTCATGACTGTGATCACCACGAATCACCTCGGGAAATATCCAAATGGCTGCCATGATATAGGACTATAGGGATATAATATGGTTGTAACCTCATGATACTTATGATAACCAGATGGAATATTATGCCCTTTAAAGAATGTATAACATTATAATCATATTCATGCGAATGTCATATGGTAGATATATGTAGATATAATATTATATAATGGGATATACCCTCCGGTGTCATCAAACGTAGCAATGAGAATCCCCTATAAAAGGTGGTCTTAGTGGAAAAATTGTCTATAAATGGTGGATTTTCCGTTGCCAACAATGAAACCCATCCCCAGTTAGATTTTTTATGTGACATCCAAATATTCCTGCTTTGGTTGCTGATAATCCCAATTTCTGACCATCAGCAACCAAAACAGCCATATTGGGTTAAAAAAAAGTAGTGGTCTAATTCAAAATAATGGTTTAACGATAGTGGTTTAACTCAACATTTTAATAGTGGTTTAACTACCCTCTAGCAAATTAACATAGACCCTGAAAATCACCCATTTTTACAGGAAACTAATCTTCCAACCCCTATCTACCAGGGTCTATGTTAATTTACTGGAGGGTAATGGTTTAAACTTAAACCACAAAATCGCCCGGTCCCATCCCTCCCATGGTCCGGTTGGTGGTTGGTATCCCCCGACTTAGGATCATATCCCGAATAGAGGAGTATAGCCCCCCTTAATTAATAAGCAATCGACTGTCATTGATCAACCATATCCCAAATGTTGGTGAACACTGTTAGACTCCTATACCTGATGGTTAAATCATGTTAAATCCCTAATCTGTGCTTCAATCATCATGTTTGATAGTGAAGTCCTTTTCTTCACTGGTTAAAACCATCATTTTTTGCTGGCGAAAAGCCCGATTTCTGGTGAACAGGTGAAATCCCTCATTTTTCCCCATGTTCTATGGTGACAACCACATGACATCCCCATGGCGCACTTGTACACGGTGATCTGGTTCCCCTCGTTCATGCGTGGCGCCACGGTGGCCGCCATAAAGTGCCTGGTGCCATATGTATAGTTTATATGTGTCAATGTTTACTGTATATATTTGTATATATATATGTTTTTGTAGATTGCAAACACAGTTGTATGTATCATTGTGTGTATATAAAAGAGTTTGAGATTCTCCATATATACAAGGCCCCGAGGCGCCTTCCATCGGCGAACCAGGAGCAGTCCACCGTCAGCGCGGCTCGCAACGACGCCACGGTTTCATCCTTACTGCGATCCTCGCGACGTGGAGAGACAGAAGGTGATATCATGGGATACATCTATATCTATATATATATATATGTATGTATGTATGTATGGTTCAAGAATTTCGGAGTGAAACAAAGTGTGGAATATGAAATTATGAAAGGTGACGAAGCAAGCATATCATGAAATATCGTTATCAATGGGACATTCATGAATATTGATTCCGTATTAATGGGATAATCTAACACCACTATGATATACATTTATCTATAATATGTTTATATAACATTGGGCGTGTCTGAAAATGGAGGGTGCCCCAGTTCATGGCTATGTTCGTGGAAAAAATCATGATAGAGCATGCGATTTTGGGGTATCTTATTTTCGGAAAGGACTGTTGTGAGCGGCAGAATTCACAAGTTTTGGGGAAGAAAAGTTTCATCAGAATAATTTCCTACTGCTTGCCCTCACAAGAATCGTTTCTGACACATGTCATGGCACCACGTAATTACACTACGTCAGCCATCTGCCTACATCTGCCCTACATTTGTCCAAATACACACATCTGTTTCCAACATCTGCCTTCACTTCTCTGCATTGACTGCACAGATTAATGCAGATTAATCATGATTAATCTAGAACCCAAAAAAAATAAAAAACAATGTTTCCACAACTACTCTGACCTCTAGACTAGTTGCCAAACCTTTGTTTTTTGTTTTGGTTCTAGATTAATCATGATTAATTTGGATTAATTCTGATTAATCACTGGCATAACATCATACATCACAACCCTGGCTTTTCGCTTGACTCCGGCTTGTCTGCTTCTGCGTCTGTGTCCGGTCTTGCCCTGTCATGTTTGTTCGTTTTTCTCGAGGTTTTGGTATGATCCTGATTAATTAATCTGGATTCGTAACGTCCTACATCACGACTCCGGCTAGTTCCGGCCTTCTTATCTCCAAATTTGGAAAATCAGATGCTCGGAGACTTGGGCATGGGTTGAAGGCAATTTTGTAGTTCATCTATTTCCACCTAGTTTTCTGCAGAATTTGGCACTGTTCAAAAACAATGCCGCAACAATTGAAACAAAATAAAGCAGACAAAGTGCACGTAGGACATGGGTTCGGCATTTTTTTACATACAATCTTCCAATATCTGTGATCACAAGTCTTATTTTTCAAAGAAGGTGATATTCCTTACAGAAAGTGTGGCCTGACTTTGTGCATTCCCTTTGAAAGATTGTATTATCTTTGAAAAGAGTGCAGTAATGGTCTGAAATAGACCTTCAATGCGTATACAATTTCATAAGAGTATGGCGCCTTCTGCAAACAGATTCCAACACCATTTCAAATTAATTAAGGTCCACTTATATATATATGCACATATATATATATATACCATGGTGTTCTTTTGTGATCATGGCATTCTTTGAAGTGAATGTTTATAACATGTATAACTATCTGGACTATAGTCCTTCAAGAAAGTGCATCATCTCTTTGAAAAGGTGCAAGATTTCCTCAGACATCAAAACATAATTCCAAATTTCAAAATGGAATTCTTTTGTGTTTATAGTGTTCCTTGTATCAAAAGAGTATGATATTCCTTGAAAAAATGTGGAAAGTGTTGTTTTTCTTTTTAAAAGCTATCAGCTCCTTGAGCGAGATGCAATATTCTCTTAAGACAATGGAAATTTATTCCAACATGTAATCCTTTTACACATGCAGCACTCTTTCTGAAATAATATGGTTGCCCCTTGGTGCATAAATGATGGAATCACTTGATGAAGAAGAGTGCACAACTCTTTCATATTGAATACAGAAACTAGTTTCTTTAGAGAAAGACCTGATCCTTAAGGAACAACAAACGAAAACTGAACCTTTTCAACATGAATACTACACGTGTGAAGACAATTGTTTTTTTCTTTTGCAGGAACATGGCTTCTTGAAAAGGATACTATATTGTCTTATGGTGGGGTACTTCAACTTAGTCATTTGACGTGATGTTCAAGGACTATAGTGTTGATGCATTGGGTATTGCACTTTTGACATGAATTCTGCATATTAAAGGGATGGTTGTAAATCGAAAAGCATGCTACACATGGCACAGGAATATGGCCTATTTGAAGGGATATCATGTGGAAGAAAAATTCGCTTTTTCAGAAACGAATGCTGCATCTTTTAGATTTTAGAGGATTTCTTCACAATTGTAGGGGTATTGCTTGTTGAAAAAAGCATTGTACTTTGTTCAAAGGAAAAATGCAATTTAATGAACAATGCTTCTTTATAAGCTGGGGATACTTCATTGTTTAGAACAGGAATGCACTATCTTAAATTCATGCTACATATTATAGAAACATGTTTACCCCTAAATGGAAGGCTGTATATCTTTAGGGACGCCCTGCATCTTTTAGAAAAAAAACACACGTTATATTTTGCATGGGATACTGGAAGGATTCATGAAACTATTTCAAGAATATTATATAAGATGCACATATGCTTCAATATGCTTATTCCTGAATTGTGTGTATTTACATTTATTATCATTTATGGCTCTTTGACTCTGATGTATTTACTTAATTGCATTCAATAAGAACAACATATTTCACAAGGAGACTCTTAAACAAGAAATATAATATGAATTTAATACGATTTTGCATGGGAATTGCATGGAACTAGATGTCCAATAATTTCTGAATAAAAACCTGCCTTTCTTGATTTATGGCACTTTTGAGCACATAGTTGGGTGAAAAGTAGCACATAGTTGGGTGACAGATACAAGTATGTACTTAAAGTGCAACCTGTTCATATCTGGATCAGAAGGATTTGCAAAAAAGAATGCCATTCATTTAAGCAATTTTTCTGCCGCTCACAACAGTCCCCTCCCCTTATTTTCAGACAAACCCAAACGACGACGACAACATCGACGACGACGACCACAACAACAACAACAACAACAACAACAACAACAACCACAACAACCACAATAAGATGAAGAAGAAAAAGAAGAAGAAGAACAACAGCAACAAGAACAACAACAGCAGCAGCAGAAACAAATATGGAAGTCAGTGACGAAACTACTGGTAATGACAAACTTAATTCGGAATGTCTCAGCAAATAAAACTTTAAAAAAATGGTGTTGACCACCAAAAAGGGCGAGAACATGTCAGAAAAAGTGGAAAACACTATCCAATAGATTTGCCGAATCTTAAAGCGTTGAGCCATGTTCATGGTTTCGCTGAGATTGTGAAGTTGGATGCTTCTCCAACTACACAAATAGTTGTCTCACATTCACATGTCATCCTGATAGCTCCCAGGGATCTTCATGAACATGTTCATTAATGGTATTAATGGGATACATCACCAATATGATATTATATAATCAATATTAATGTGGTGTTAATTGGATAATTGTATCACCAATATCATTAATTCTATCAATAAATATGTGGGTGTGTCTCCTTACTTCAGTTCACCCCAAAATCGACCAACTCCTTCTGATCATAGCATCATGGGACTATGCCGGTATGCTGCCAATCATGTCCCAAACGGTCATTGTTGATTTTTTACCCATTCCTATCTAGTCATCTAGTCCTTTTCTACCAGCAAGTTGACATCTTTTTGGAACAACAAATGCTCAATCTCGATTCTGATGTTGTCAGTATTTCCCTGATCTAAAATCCTAGACCCTTGTGCTGCTGTTGCTCAAGATTCATGCGTTTGTATCTATTTGTTGGTTGCACACTTATATTCTTATTGTTTATCAATTAAAATCAACTCAAAAATCAGATTTGCTTGGTTTAAACACCTCTTTTGCTGCTTATTAAACCCCCCATTGTTTCCTTGTTTTCATATCTCACATGTTTCCTACGGTCCAAGGCTCATAGAAGTCCAAATCTCCCGGCAGAGTCCCAAAGCCCGCCACCGCCGCAAAGCGGCCGAAGGGATTCCTGGGAGATTTGTTTTATGTTTATTATTACTATCATTGTTATTATTGTTACTATTATTGTTATTATTATTGTTATTATTATAATTATGATTATTGGTGTTATTTTTTAATTAATAATATTATCATCAGTATTATTACTATTGTAATTGGAGTAACTATTATATATACATACGTATATTACTATTAGTATATTACTGATGGTTAGTAAGGTTGGGTGACTATCCCAAAAAAATACTTGATTTCATCTTAATTCAATGGAGGTTTCACCGATAAGGAACTGGTATTGACGCAACCAATATCTGGTGTCTTCCAAATAAGTGGGGGGAGACTCCAAAATGATGGGAAAACCATGGTTTTGGGGGTCCCCCAATTCTGACCAACACGAATATATCCATTACAAAATGGAAAGTTACAGTACTTGAGAAACCACTTGGATGGAATGGGTATAATATATCCTGTTCTGGACAAGCCCAGTCTCGGTTGGCTTTAAAGGGAGAAACAACTAGAGGAAGCTATGGTTCGCACCCAAATTTCGGGAATGCCTTTTTGGTTTGGAGTTGGGAGGATGGATGAAGTGTTCACTGGGGTGAAGGAAATCTACAGCGGAATCTACAGAAAACTTTATGAATTTCACATGCGGATCAATCTTTGAGATGGCTGCCTCTGGAACAGATTAACAAAATTGGATGCTTTCAGATCAAATTCTGAGTGATAGACATGATATATGCATCAATATCTGGTTGGTGGTTTTAACCATCTTGAAAAATATTAGTCAATGGGAAGGATTATTCCCAATATATTATGGAAAAATAAAAAATATTCCAAACCACCAACCAGATATGTTTAATATATGTATAATGTGTATATATATATATAGATATGTGTGTGTGCGTCAACATACCACAAAATCCCCAACCAATGTATGAGCTTCACCCTCTGTCACCTATCACAACAGGATGCCTTCCTATACGTCCTCTACCCTCTGGTAGTTTGTAGCAGTTCGCTATTGAAAATGGCCCATTTAGTTCGTTGATTGACCTAATCCAAGATGGTGATTTCCATTTCGCAAACTGTTAGTTTTCCAGAGGGTAAATCCCATGAATTCCCATTAAGGCACCATCAAATCCCATGAATTCCCATTAAATCCCATTAAATCCCATATATATATATTATATATTATATAACTTATATATATATATTATATACATAATTTATATATAATATATATATATTATATACATAATTTATATATAATATATATATTATATATATATGTATCAAACATTAACTTGGGGTGTTATAACCATTCCTCAGCCGTCATGGCACCATTTCAAGGTGTTTCTCTTCGACTTCCCCAGACTCTTCTCCAATTTGCCTAGCGCTAAGGTGGCGCGCTGAAAAACCCGGCGGGCCCCCCACAGAAACACCAATCCCCAAAAGATCCCCAACTAGCTAGGAACTATACCCTCTGGTAATTTAACATAGCTAGTGAAAATGACCATTTATAGTTGATTTACCCATTTTAAATGGTTAATAATAATGGTTATTATATGGTTAATGATGGTTAATAATAATCTGGTTGGTGGTATACCTATCCCTCTGACAAATCATGGAGTTTGTCACTTGGGATATGTTGGGATAATGAAATTCCCAACTGAATGGAAAAAAAAAACATGTTCCAAACCACCGCACTTTGTCACACTTTGCAATGCGCGCAACGTTATGTGAGACGTTGCCCGACTTTGGGGGGTCAAAGACCAAGAGATGAAACGTAGACCTCGGGGAAATCGGTTCGGCGTTCTGCAATCGGAAGGGAATCGATTGCACGAGTCTGGCGCTTGAAAGTCTGATTGGAGCATGTCATCATCCATTTGTCAGCTAAACGCAATCGAAGAGGGTCCCAAGGCAACGCTAAGACCCCCGTATGCATTTGAACCGCTTGTGAGCTTGGACGGCCATACCCCATATGCAGTGAAACACCCAAATGTTTAAGCGACTCTTTCAGCATTTTGGTAAACCAGCGTGCTCTTTGTCTGAAGCTGTACCCCATGAGGCTTAAATGGGTAACCTCTTCCCCATCCCGCCATTGCGAGACGTGGACAGGGCCAGGGTGGCCAGTGCTACACATGTAGTCCACATACAGCTGAAAGTGCGACACCCAGCATACCCTATGCGTACTCGAATCCAGACTCTGCCAAAACCAACTCAACAAAAGTCTAACCATACGGTCACCATACCATCGAACAGCCTTGCTCGGAATGGAGAGGGGAGGCAATCCTCGCCAATTTGTCACTGGCAAAGGCAAGGCCGACTCCTGAGGTTCAACAAGCACCTGCAAAGGCTGTTCCTCACGCACAACTGCCTGGCTTACGGCAAGCACAACGTTCCAAATCAACTGATTAAAATGGGCAGTGAAAGCAACTGCATCGCGATGTCTTTCAAAAAGTTCCCAAAACTCAGGTGGTCTGTCATAGTTCGCCTGCACAGCATGTTTGTCTGCAAGGTGGTTGTAGCGAAAACACCACTCCTCCAAGGCCGTTACTGCATGTGTAACATCCTGATGAGCAGCAACCTTGGTGATCTCAATGGAATAAGTCCTCACAGCTAGGCAGGCAGAAATGGCTTGCCACAAGTCCCCATGTGCGCTATTGGGTGAAACTTCATGCCCCGCAAGCAGGCGGCGAAATTTCTTGACCACCGCATCACAATCAGTCCACAGTGTGACTGCTCCTTTGTGTTCTGCAACCATCTGAAGTGCACACAACACAGCATAGATTTCAGCTCTTACTGCACTCTGCAACAACCCTGGCAGCGGACCTCTAGCCAAGACCTCTGAGCCATGGTAGTCATGCAAGCTGTCTGGTGAAGCAAGTATGACCGCCCAACTAGCAAATCTAAGAAGCTGATTTTGTTGGTTATGGCAACTTCCGTCAGTGAAAATATGCAACGCCCCACTGCGCTTCAACTGGTCACCTTCCCTCACATGAAGCTGAGAAAAATAACTGTTCCACTCGATCATGGTTGACGGCAGTAGTGCCCATCCGCAGCACGTGTGGGCTTCCGGGAGGTCAACTATAATCTTACTTGCCTCAGGCGTGATATGTGTGCGCAATGCAGAGAAGTGTGCACATTCCCAAAACCTATGGTATCTGCTATCACTACACAGGCAATAGGGACACTGGTCTGTTTCAGCCTCCTGGCAATAGGGACACTGGTCTGTTCCAAACCACCGACCAGAAACATATTGCCCAATTGCTGATGTTGGTTTTGGCGTTCGGGACCGCAAGACTCAGGAGCCCACAAGGATCATGTTCAGGATTTGCAAACAGCCCAATTTCTTCCAATTTCCACATTTACAGCAAAAGAAAAGCTTGGTGATCGTTCCAGATTTGCTGGCCGGCTCAAAGTGGATGCAGTTTAAGGAACATCTTGCTGGTTTCATCAGCTATGTAATTTAGCTTGATGGAATGAGCATCGATTGACTGGACTTTCACATGCCAAATCCCCATCTAAATACTAATTATAGAGTGAAGTGAACATTGACACCGTTTTCATGGATGTTCCAGATACTTTGAGTGTCAGAGCATCCCTTTTACCGGATGCAGCACCTAATGGGATTCTGACAGAGTTTTGAGCTACTCTAATGTCTCTGAATGCGATTGGCTTCATCAGCAAAGGGTTCCTTGAGAGACCAAAAAAACACCAAAGGACATCAAAGTGTCTCTTAAACGCCCTTCAAAGACTTCTTCAAAAACACCAACACAATCATCGAAAACAACAATATCATCAAACGACATCAAGCGGTTCTCAAACGCCCTTCAAAAACACCAACAGCATATAACAAAATCATCCGACAAAAACGAACATCATTTGTATTCCAACGCTGCACTTGCTTTTAGTTAAATATAGCTAAATGCTTATATGAGATGCCTATCTCGTTCTCGGGGTGTTCCTACCTCGTTTTACAGCCTCATTCGGATGCTTTCGGCAAACCGGGGTACAACCCAATACTACTCTCCATTTAACCACATGAAAGCCGTCGCTCATATCAAAAACAGCTGCAGCTGACCTGTGGTGCCGTTGTAGAGGTTCACCTCCGCCGGCAACATGCCCACGATGACCATGAACTCATTGCTGCAAGGTGACCACGCCAAGTCCTGGAAAAAACATGAAAAGTCACCACGGTTTAACCACTGAGAACGGGTAAAAAATCCCATGGTAAATCCCATGGTTGAACCATGGTTTAACCATGGTTTACCATGGTTTAACCATCAAAAGAATGGGATTTCATATGATTTCACTATGGCTGGTGACCCAAACCCATAAGCGTCCTGCACTAAGCCTTTGTCAACTCCGCAGACTTCCAATTTCTTCCGATCTTCGGGCTTCAACCAGTAGAGATAGGTGCCTCAGCCGATGCTATGCTGTTTTTCGTCAACCAAAATCCGTGCTAAAAATATCGATTGAGATATGATGAGATATGGTTAGAATGAATTTTTAGCTATGTGTTTAGCTAAATATAAAATAATATAAATAAATATGTATGTACTGTTAAATTATTAGCTATGATGTTGTACTGTTCATATCTGTTAATTCTATATAATTCTCTGAGAGAATAAATTGAATATGGATCACTATCCTGAACCAGTGCAGGGTTTCGGAAGCCAATGATATCCAATAAAATGAAGCAATTAAATAATATGATACCCCTATCCCATCCTCATGAAATATTTGATAAATATAATGAATTATAATAAGTATTCAGTATTCATATATATATATAAGATAGTATTATAAGATAGTATAAGTATTTAATTAGTTGAATTAATCAATCCCTATCAAACCAAGTGGGATAAACTACCAGAAGAACCAACCCACAATGGTATCAGTAATGAATGGCCAGCATAGTGGATTTGACAATGAGCAATCATCCAAAACTTGAAAATCGAACCCTAGAGTTGCAGATCCTTGCAGAAAATTTGCAGCACCTAGTGGAAGTGCTTGAACTTTCAGTGAATTGAAACTCGTTTTTCCGTGGCGTTGCACAGTCGTGCAACGGACTTCTCCCAGTCTCGGCTCGCTACTTCCAAAGTAGGAGTTACCCGTCTCATCCACGTCGCTCATGGCCTTGAATTTCGGCGGATCTCGCATCGTTTTTCACACAATCTGGTTGGTGGTGCTGGCTGTGCCCATCTTGAAAAATATGAGTTCGTCAATGGGAAGGATGACATCCCATATATGAAATGGACAATACACTAATGCGTCAGGTATACCTACGTGACATAACCAGTGTATTATCACCATTGTTTGGAGGCGTGTTTGGTGGGGCGCACGTTCAAATCGTCACCAACACCATGCCTTAGAAAGCATCCCAAATCCAGGCTGCAACACTCAGCCGCATCTGGGTTCCATGACGTTGGCCAAAAGAGCGGAACCATCAAAGTTCCACAGCATCTGGCAATCTTTCACCTGTAGCGTCTGATGCTTGCAAGATTCTGGAGGAAAGGTGAAACCCCAACATGCGACGTACTACAAATCATCCTTTTCGCTAGAACTTAAAACCACCAAAAAAACATAAGATTGGATCTATTCATATTTTAGGGTCTTTTACTATGGTACATAATGCTATGTGATAAGCGGCTGGGACTATTAAAATCAACCATTAATTCGGAAGGTCAAACGGCACCAGTGGCGCCAAGTTCATCGCTCATCTTTCTCCGGATCGTTCGACGATCATCCGCATGGACAACATCCTGAGATAGCCACCATCAAAGAACATTAAAGGGTTACCCGTTTCACTTCTTTCCTTTTTGGAAAATCTGTTTCGCTTCTTCACTCACACATTTTTGGGAACCCAAGATGCAATGTAATCAGTTTCATCACCCTGCGTATCATTGAAATGACACGGCTCTACCACTCATCAAGAGTGCCCCGTTTTACTGTTTTGGTGTTTTTAAGAACCTTTTCCTTCTCCAATTGGATTTTACTTGGGTTGCTTGTTGGATTTACGGCTTCACCACACGAAAAAGAAATCCCACATGGATGCACATTCTATAATCGAAACATATTGAAACCATCGCAACATCGTGCAGTTTATGAAATTGCATAAAACAAAACCAGCTAAGCGTGACGTGTTGCTATCCATAGCCCAGAAAATCATTGTGGATTTCTCGGGATGGTCCTCCCAGAATTCTCACACAGAGAATCACGATGTTTTTTTGTTGAGCTATTATTCTTCCAATATATGGGGATGAGTCAAAACCAATAGTACCCCCGGTGAACATCAGAATAGCTGGGATTTATGGATGTGAATAACCCACTAAAAATGGTATGTATAGGTATTGATCCATAGCCATATTAATATATTGTTGTATTTTCTTATGCCGCCATACATTATATTTGGGGGTATAAGAATCCTCAGACAAGAACTCTCCAGAACTGCGCAAGCTGGAACTGCCTTGTTGGGCAGGTTGAGCTCCATGACGATCTTGGAGGGTTTGCTGAGATGGTACAGCGACACGCGCGCCACCATGCCTCACGAGCCATTTTTTCGGAGCAAACGTTTCTTGTCCGATCAGAAAGCCTATTTCCGTCAGTGATAGCATGTCAAACTGTGCCTGTGCCTGGGCTGACAACCAAACTCACGTCAAGCAAGCTACCCTCTGGTAATTTAACATAGCTATTGAAAATGGCCATAGAAATAGTGGATTTACCCATGAATAGCATGGTGATTGTCCATAGTTATGTGGCTGTTTACCAGAGGCTACATCTACCCAGAGAAAGTATCGTCATACTTCTGACACCCTTGATGTGGATTGATGTCATTATACCCACCCAGCAATTCGCTCACCGGCGTCGGCGGCAGGGGGCGTAGCCCTTTAATGTCATTGATGTTGCTTGTAGGGAAACATCCAATTTTGCTCAAGTACTGTGGTTTATGTATTACTCGTCACTGCTGACTAGAATGGATCGAAGCAACAAAAAGGACGGTAGAACTGATTTAATCAAACTTGCTCATGGGCTGCGACAATCTCCATCATAATTAGTCACAACCTCCAAACTTATCATCATGCAAGTGATGTTTAGTTCAGTTCGGGGTCATAATCACATCAATTACTTGATAAGTATGCTATCATAACCAACGATAATCCATAATCATCCGCTAATAGTTATACCTATGGTTTCCCCGTTCGAAAAATCATCTACAAATGGTTGATTTTCCTTTGGAACTGTAAACGTTTCCCCTATAGACATAAGCTATAGATTCACTAGTGAGATCCCATCATATAGTTCTCACAGTCTTCTTTTCTTGGCGGAAATCATCATGCTATTCCTGTGGCCCCATGGTTTCGTTCAAACAAAATCCCAATCCGAAATCATCATCATTTTCCCATGGCAATTCCATACTGGTGCGTTTTACGTAGGGAATTTTCGGGAATGATCCCAGGGCTCACTAGTTTCATAATCATCCCAGCAACCCCAAATTTCCCATCCATTCCCTACGTATTTAGCACCGCACCAGTAAGATTCCCCAACCATTTCCTTCCGCCATGGCCCATAGACAGCCGCCATCCAAGGCGCTGGATTGAGGCACATAGACGGCCACCCACGGCTGGCCGTCCTTCTGTGGTCTCGGAGCGATGAGGAAGTTGGCCTCGAAAACAAGGGAAAAATAGGGGGACTTCAGAGAGATTTCACCACAAAACAAAAAGGGAAACATATGGAAAGATGGTGATTTCATGGGATTTAACCGAAATTGGGGGTTTAACATACAAAATTGCCGGAAATAATGGTATCTGGACAAATTTCTAGTACAGAATGGCTATCAATCCCTGAGATTTAATGGTCAATTGGAGAATTTAAGTAAAACGTACGTGGTCTAAGCAGGTGTAAGCATTGAACCAGGGATATACATATATATATATATATATATATCCGCCGACCCCGGCAGACGCAAGGGGGAGCGCGCCAGGGAATAATACTTTTGACTCTTGTTTCGGACTACTACTACTACTACTACTACTACTACTACTACTACTATTTAAAGGTAGCCAAACTTCATATTCATAGCAGCAGCAAGAGGAAAAAGCCGCCAAAATCATCATTTTCTATGGGTTTCAGAAGTTACGTTAGGCATTTTGGGGGTGCAATTTTGGGGCTTCTCCGTCCTTCAGAGGCATGGTGTTTCGCCCCTGGGAGGTGATTTCTTCCATGGTGTTTTCCTATTTGGGGACCGGATGTTTAGGTAGCTACTGTTCATGGCAGCAGCAAGGAGGAAAAAGGAGCCAAAAGCATCATTGTCTATGGGTTTCAGAAGCCACGTTAGGCATTTTCGGGGTGCAATTTTGGGGCTTCTCCGTCCTTCAGAGGCATGGTGTTTCGCCCCCGGGAGGTGATTTTTTCCATGGTGTTTTCCTATTTGGGGACCGGATGTAAAGGTAGCTAAAATTCATGGCAGCAGCAAGAGGAAAAAGGAGCCAAAAGCATCATTTTTTATGGGTTTCAGAAGTCACGTTAGGCATTTTCGGGGTGCAATTTTGGAGCTTCTCCGTCCTTCAGAGGCATGGTGTTTCGCCCCCGGGAGGTGATTTTTTTCATTGTCTTTTCCTATTTGGGGACCGGATGTAAAGGTAGCTAAAATTCATGGCAGCAGCAAGAGGAAAAAGGAGCCAAAAGCATCATTTTCTATGGGTTTCAGAAGGGACGTTAGGCAGTTTTGGGGCTCGATTTTGGCGCCGTTCCGTCCTTCAGGGCCACTGTGTTTCCCTGTCCGGCAGCGTGCGTTTTCAGCTTCGGGAGGAAGAGCAGCAGCAGCAACAGGAGCAGCAGGAGGGTTCTATGTCTCACTATGTCTCATTAATGTACAAACAGCGGTACAAAAAATGGTCGAAAACTATTGTTTTTCTAGGGTTTCAGAAGGGACGTTAGGCAGTTTTTGGGCTCGATTTTGGCGCTGTTCCGTCCTTCAGGGCCACTGTGTTTCCCTGTCCGGCAGTGTGTGTTTTCAGCTTCGGGAGGAAGAGCAGCAGCAGCAACAGGAGCAGCAGGAGGGTTCTATGTCTCACTATGTCTCATTGTACAAACAGCGGTACAAAAAATAGTCGAAAACTATTGTTTTTCTAGGGTTTCAGAAGGGACGTTAGGCAGTTTTGGGGCTCGATTTTGGCGCCGTTCCGGCCTTCAGGGCCACTGTGTTTCCCTGTCCGGCAGCGTGCGTTTTCAGCTTCGGGAGGAAGAGCAGCAGCAGCAACAGGAGCAGCAGGAGGGTTCTATGTCTCACTATGTCTCATTGTACAAACAGCGGTGCAAAAATAGTCGAAAACTATTGTTTTTCTAGGGTTTCAGAAGGGACATTAGGCAGTTTTGGGGCTCGATTTTGGCGCCGTTCCGTCCTTCAGGGCCACTGTGTTTCCCTGTCCGGCAGCGTACGTTTTCAGCTTCGGGAGGAAGAGCAGCAGCAGCAACAGGAGCAGCAGGACGGTTCTCTGTCTCACTATGTCTCATTGTACAAACAGCGGTACAAAAGATGGTCGAAAACTATTGTTTTTCTAGGGTTTCAGAAGGGACGTTAGGCAGTTTTGGGGCTCGATTTTGGCGCCGTTCCGTCCTTCAGAGCCACTGTGTTTCCCTGTCCGGCAGCGTGCTTTTTCAGCTTCGGGAGGGAAGCAGCAGCAGCAGCAACAGGAGCAGCAGGAGGGTTCTATGTCTCACTATGTCTCATTGTACAAACAGCGGTACAAAAAATAGTCGAAAACTATTGTTTTTCTAGGGTTTCAGAAGGGACGTTAGGCAGTTTTGGGGCTCGATTTTGGCGCCGTTCCGTCTTTCAGGGCCACTGTGTTTCCCTGTCCGGCAGCGTGCGTTTTCAGCTTCGGGAGGAAGAGCAGCAGCAGCAACAGGAGCAGCAGGAGGGTTCTCTGTCTCACTATGTCTCATTAATATACAAACAGCGGTACAAAAGATGGTCGAAAACTATTGTTTTTCTAGGGTTTCAGAAGGGACGTTAGGCAGTTTTGGGGCTCGATTTTGGCGCCGTTCCGTCCTTCAGGGCCACTGTGTTTCCCTGTCCGGCAGCGTGCGTTTTCAGCTTCGGGAGGAAGAGCAGCAGCAGCAACAGGAGCAGCAGGAGGGTTCTATGTCTCACTATGTCTCATTGTACAAACAGCGGTACAAAAGATGGTCGAAAACTATTGTTTTTCTAGGGTTTCAGAAGGGACGTTAGGCAGTTTTTAGGCTCGATTTTGGCGCTGTTCCGTCCTTCAGGGCCACTGTGTTTCCCTGTCCGGCAGCGTGCGTTTTCAGCTTCGGGAGGAAGAGCAGCAGCAGCAACAGGAGCAGCAGGAGGGTTCTCTGTCTCACTATGTCTCATTAATGTACAACGAGGTACAAAAAATGGTCTCGAAAAACTATTGTTTTCTTAGGGTTTCAGAAGGGACGGTTAGGCAGTTTTTTGGGCTCGATTTGGGACGCTGTTCCGTCCTTCCGGGGCCAACTGTGTTTCCATGTACGGAGTGTGGTTTTAAGCTTGGGAGAAGAGCAGGCAGGCAGCAACAGGGAGCAGCAGGGAGGGTTTAGGGTCTCACTATGTCTCATGTAAAACAGCGGTGACAAAAAAAAATGTCGAAAAGTCGAAAACTATTGTTTTTCTAGGGTTTCAGAAGGGACGTTAGGCAGTTTTGGGGCTCGATTTTGGCGCCGTTCCGTCCTTCAGGGCCACTGTGTTTCCCTGTCCGGCAGCGTGCGTTTTCAGCTTCGGGAGGAAGAGCAGCAGTAGCAACAGGAGCAGCAGGAGGGTTCTATGTCTCACTATGTCTCATTGTACAAACAGCGGTACAAAAAATAGTCGAAAACTATTGTTTTTCTAGGGTTTCAGAAGGGACATTAAGCAGTTTTGGGGCTCGATTTTGGCACCGTTCCGTCTTTCAGGGCCACTGCGTTTCCCTGTCCGGCAGCGTACGTTTTCAGCTTCGGGAGGAAGAGCAGCAGCAGCAACAGGAGCAGCAGGAGGGTTCTCTGTCTCACTATGTCTCATTGTACAAACAGCGGTACAAAAACTGGTCGAAAACTATTGTTTTTCTAGGGTTTCAGAAGGGACGTTAGGCAGTTTTGGGGCTCGATTTTGGCGCCGTTCCGTCCTTCAGAGCCACTGTGTTTCCCTGTCCGGCAGCGTGCTTTTTCAGCTTCGGGAGGAAGAGCAGCAGCAGCAGCAACAGGAGCAGCAGGAGGGTTCTATGTCTCACTATGTCTCATTGTACAAACAGCGGTACAAAAAATAGTCGAAAACTATTGTTTTTCTAGGGTTTCAGAAGGGACGTTAGGCAGTTTTGGGGCTCGATTTTGGCGCCGTTCCGTCCTTCAGCCGGCAGCGTGCGTTTTCAGCTTCGGGAGGAAGAGCAGCAGCAGCAACAGGAGCAGCAGGAGGGTTCTATGTCTCACTATGTCTCATTGTACAAACAGCCGTAACTATTGTTTTTCTAGGGTTTCAGAAGGGACGTTAGGCAGTTTTTGGGTTCGATTTTGGCGCCGTTCCGTCTTTCAGGGCCAATGTGTTTCCCTGTCCGGCAGCGTGCGTTTTCAGCTTCGGGAGGAAGAGCAGCAGCAGCAACAGGAGCAGCAGGAGGGTTCTATGTCTCACTATGTCTCATTAATATACAAATAGCGGTACAAAAACTGGTCGAAAACTATTGTTTTTCTAGGGTTTCAGAAGGGACGTTAGGCAGTTTTTGGGCTCGATTTTGGCGCTGTTCTGTCCTTCAGGGCCACTGTGTTTCCCTGTCCGGCAGCGTGCGTTTTCAGCTTCGGGAGGAAGAGCAGCAGCAGCAACAGGAGCAGCAGGAGGGTTCTATGTCTCACTATGTCTCATTGTACAAACAGCGGTACAAAAAATGGTCGAAAACTAATTGTTTTTCTAGGGTTTCAGAAGGGACGTTAGGCAGTTTTTGGGCTCGATTTTGGCGCCGTTCCGTCCTTCAGGGCCACTGTGTTTCCCTGTCCGGCAGCGTGCGTTTTCAGCTTCGGGAGGAAGAGCAGCAGCAGCAACAGGAGCAGCAGGAGGGTTCTCTGTCTCACTATGTCTCATTGTACAAACAGCGGTACAAAAGATGGTCGAAAACTATTGTTTTTCTAGGGTTTCAGAAGGGACGTTAGGCAGTTTTGGGGCTCGATTTTGGCGCCGTTCCGTCCTTCAGAGCCACTGTGTTTCCCTGTCCGGCAGCGTGCTTTTTCAGCTTCGGGAGGAAGAGCAGCAGCAGCAACAGCAACAGCAGGAGGGTTCTATGTCTCACTATGTCTCATTGTACAAACAGCGGTACAAAAAATGGTCGAAAACTATTGTTTTTCTAGGGTTTCAGAAGGGACGTTAGGCAGTTTTTGGGCTCGATTTTGGCACCGTTCTGTCCTTCAGGGCCACTGTGTTTCCCTGTCCAGCAGCGTCCGTTCTCAGTTTCGGGAGGAAGAGCAGCAGCAGCAACAGGAGCAGCAGGAGGGTTCTATGTCTCACTATGTCTCATTGTGCAAACAGCGGTACAAAAACTGGTCGAAAACTATTGTTTTTCTAGGGTTTCAGAAGGGACGTTAGGCAGTTTTTGGGTTCGATTTTGGCGCTGTTCCGTCCTTCAGGGCCACTGTGTTTCCCTGTCCGGCAGCGTGCGTTTT